GACTCAGATCCCTGAAATAAGGAGTTTATCGACAAATATATGAGGAAAAGTTACTTTTAAAGACCCATTAATCAGTATGAACTGAAAAAAAATACCTGCTTCATCACACTGCTTTTAACTCAAGGAAGCCTGGTCAGCTTCTTGTATTGGTCTAATGTCCTAGGAAGGTATTTCCTTAAGTGGTAGTATATACATATATACATATATATTGGTCCAGACTGCGTAGGACCATTTTTCGGGTTACTCCTAATGTCTAGGATGCAGCGAAAAATTACGAATCTTCCCTAACCTGTACAATATGCAGGGCTGTCTGCTGAACACCATATTCTTCTTCATTTTCTTTAACTGCACGTTTAATTATCACAGAAAGTCTTGTGTTGGCGACGTTCATTCAAATATTTATAGTAAACATTTGTTAGTAAGTGATCAACCTACCATTAGAACAACTAGGAATAAAGAATTCCATTATCATTCCATACACGGGGCTCAACAGAATGTGACTAATTTCAAAGGTGGCTGCGAGAGAGAAACGTACACACTAGCAATTGTGTGAGGCCATGATAGTAAATACAAATATTGGACACATCATCGCCTCTGAAATATCAATGAATACAATTGAAATCCCTTAGCGAGGGACGACGACATGCCAATTTTAGTGCCGAATGCCGTGTCAATAGCTGCTCCGACTATGTATATCAAATAAACTACATTTTCAAATTTCCTAATAAGACTTGGTTTATGCGACTTGCTGCGATCATCTGTGGATAGTTTCGTTTCACCTTGGTGTAGTGTAGCATTTCAACAGGATCTGTGTGAACAAAAGTCAAGAGATAGTGATGGGCCTTTCTTGACCATTACTCTACTGGCCAGTCTCCAGATTCCTGTAACCAAACGTCGGAGGCATTTTTAAACTTCACATTGGAAGCAAAATGAGCACCTATGTGGAGTGAATGTTAATTAAGTTACATTCTAATAAATTTGTGATCCCGAGTACCAGTTATAAGGAATATATCGGAATATTTATACGTCTGTGACACAAGTGACATTCTCACATCATGAGCTGTCGCAAGAAGATTAGAACTTCGGTCAACAACGGTTCCATTGATGAGAAATGGGCGTCACATTCATCTGGACAATCAGTAATCACGTAGTCCTAGTTAAAATCTGTGGAATAGAATCTCATGAAAATGAAAATATGACTGCGTTGATGATATTGTTTATGTGAATTTGATAATTACAGGCCTTCCTTCCTAATTTTGTTCGATTTATACCTATAATGCCCAAACAACTGAATTGCATATTCCTTTTTCTTCGTTTTCACTTATCATAAGGCCAGTATATTTTTCAAGACCTCTGAAGAAGTTACTAAATCACTTCTCTTTCACATATTCCACTTGAATTCGATGAGTATTTTTTCAGTCACTGTCTCAGCACTGTTACCTTGTGGTGAGAGCTGTCTACCAGCCAAATTGGTAGACAGTAATTTACGTCAATATTTACGTTCCCAAGATTTGTCGTGAGAAAATGTGAACAAAGATTGATTCAAAACCGACCACAGCAGACTTTGCCTAGGCGGATGCAGTTAACATATAGAGGATTTGACATTCAAGAAACAGTCACAAATAGATGAAAGACTAACTTTACTTGAGAAACAGCCAATCGGAAGACTGTGTTTGTTTGCTTAAATATCCATAGTAATGTACATGCAAATAAGTAAATATGCGTTGATTTCCTTAATAAATGATCTGTTGCCTGACTCTTGCCTTCTGTCGTTTCAACCTTACCGAAGTCAGCTGATCTTGATTTGTTTGAGTTTTCAACCCCACTCACCTAATTAGCTCCGACCTACTAATCAGACCTACATATTTAGCCTCACATGCAATGCAAGATTTAGGACAACGAAATCATTCGTGTAGTAAGCTCCACGGTATCCTATAGTAGACGTAATTTCATGTTCTGTCAGTTATATTGCTACCTTTATTCCTGACTGAAAATGAGTATCCTTATTTTAAAGAGTGTGAAGTGGTGCTTTTCAATTTCGTCAGTTATATGTGAGAGATAATGTTTGAGGCCTTGAATTTTCAGTTACGGTGGCATTGTTTCTACGCCTAAACGTTCTTTTTCACCTTGCATATTGCCGACATGGCGAGGTTATGAAGAACGTCGCACGAGAATTGGCTCTATACATCACATGTGGTTGATACTCCTGCCATCACTGAACGTTTTGATGCAATGTGGAAAAAGTACTGACCAATAATGAGTTTTGTGATCACTGTAATAAAATCGCTATTATAGCTCCTTTTTAGTACACTTAGTTTCCTTCAGTTGAAATGTAGTCCTGACATAAATCTAATCATATAAATGAGCTTTGTTCAGTGCTCAGAATGAATTCATCTCACATACTCCTTTGCCATTGCTGATTGTGTTTGGCTTAGTTATGTAAGTTATAGATACACCGGAATTTTGTAGTATTAGTCAGAGGGTTGTGATTTAGCACAATTTCGAAGATTCTCCTTCAGATTACAAGGAAGTATGAACACTACATTCTGAAGGCTGCAAAGTGTAATCCATCAAAAAGAAGTACGAAACAGCTGTCAAGTACTATCAGGTTTTCCAAAGATTCTCCAACTTATATCAATATGATCAATATAATTATGCAGACTTTTGTTAAATGTTAAAATGAAAACATTGTACATTACTTTTGTTCAAAACTACTTGCTGTAAATATATACATAACTTTGGAGTGCAATTAAAATCAAGCATGCTGCACGTCACTTCGTCTTCCCACTGGTCCGCACTATCTACACGCTTAACAACTTACCATATTGTATCCTCCGAAATTTGCAGGAACCTGTCATCCTCATCCGAAGACTATTCTGAAACTGGTAAACAAATTCTAGTAGTGGATACAACCTTAGAAGTGAACGCTTCTGTGGATTACATAAATAATGTAAAGCAGAGGACTCTAATTGTATTATCGAGTAACTATTAATTCTTATCAATAATCATCTGTGTTTCTATAATATACTGACTCCATATTTTTACATTAACCTGGATTTTTATCCTCATATTTAGTATCATCCCCTAAAAATCGAACAAATTTAAAATGCATCTACCATTGGGTCGAGTTCCAGTGGCTGAGTGGCACACGACCTCGTCTCCTAACAGAAAGCTCCTGGTTTTGAAATCCAGTGAGTGCTTTCTCATGGAGAGTCTCAAACTATGACGAACACATGTCCAGGACTCCCAGGTTTTCTAGTGGTTCTGTCACTGATGTCAGCTGTGGACCAACCTCTTAACCAATCAAGTCCCTGCAAATAAAAATTGACGAACAAACACTGTGAACTGTTTTTCATCATGAAACGAATAATTGCAGTAATTACAGACATGTGTCAGTGAGCTATTAGATTATGGCAACACCACTGAACCTTCGTGATTCGTTAATGTAAGCTAGCTAAATCATAGTAACAGTAAACCAACCAATCATTAAAGACATCTCATCAAATTCACAATTCCTTGAATATCATTGATGCGTTCACATCAGTCATTAGAATCAAATGAAAATATTTTAATTGTATCTGAAGACCAAAGTTCAAGTGTTTTTCAGCTAACCACTTGATGAGAGGCAAAAAATAAAGCAGCAAAATTATATAAAAGTTTTCGATGAATTATTCATTTATGAGAATAGAACGACTGAAGGCGTGATGGGTAAGTTTTGAACGACACATGTATTATCAGTTTCATTAAGTCATATTTGTATCTTCACAAACTTGATTTATACTGCTGATCATATACATAACGTTGTATGCCCTCTGCAAATTATATGTTCATAAATATCCATGAACGTCAATGATGGCTGTCATCGAAGATGGACCCTGGAAAGAAATAAAATTGATTCATATAAGGTGACGTGTAAAACTGCAGAGCAGTGATGATTAACTGAGAATCCGACAGCCATTATTTTTACGAATAATGACCTTTTGTCTATGTGGTAGTTATTGGTGGGTGAATATTAGGTGCTGACAGTGAACCAGACGAGAAAATCAATAAACGTTCATACAACCTGATGGTATGTGACATGCAGCACAGCGAGATGAAAACCAGACAACAAAGGTCCATAGATCAGCACAAGCTTATACTTTCACATACTGACAATAACAGATCCTTTCAACGTAAATGATTCTGTCACACTCACACTATGAAAGCCTGAATCCTGTATATAACGGAAACAGTCCTAATTCACATAGATAAGTAAAGGTGGACAGACAAAGCATGTTTTCGTGTGATGATTTCGAACAAAGATCTTCATTTTCCTCATTCATCTTCATTCAACTATGTAAAAACGTATAGTCAATACTACTGTGCTTATTGGAGACAGTATTGACATTTATGCTAATAATAATAATAAGTCAAAAACAGTACTTATAATACAGAATTGAATTCTCAGTATTTGTCACTCATTCCACTTTGAAACTTTTAATATTATGACTGTCAAGGGACAAATGGTGCATGCACCCTAAATATCGTTGTTTAACGCGATAAATAGCTGCAAACATGCCTATTCACATAGAAGATGCGCATAAAACAAATAATATCAGTGATATATTAAATTCTAGCTGCATGTGATTACTCTGTTGCCTAGTAATTTACATCGTACACATCGTTCATTATGGGGATTAGTTAATCTTTAAACTGTTGTGTTTCTTTGAAAATATTCTCCAGGTCGAAATATGTCCATGAAACATGAAAGATCCAACCATTTGAAAAATACACCTTCGAAACTGAGACAAGGAAGACTTCTATACTTCTTCATCTGGGTAAGAAATCAACACCTTGCTATGAAACTGCTCCATGCAGATGGTTATTGACACATTGTTGATGCTTTTAGTGACACTGACAATGGTTGTTATGGTCAACAAAGTGTAGGTCGGAATCTCATCAACATTATAATTGTGTTTTTTTCACAGGAAAGAACTTTGTTTTTGGATTAAAGACCACAGCTGGGTGACAATTGTTTTGATGTAAGTTCATCTTATAACGTTTCCAACCAACATCTTTACGTGAAACGTGTACACACTGCTTTCCATGGAAAGTTTCATGAATTGCCTATCTATCCCGATGAGACCTCATGAAACGGTTGTCCATTTCAGATATTTGCGTTGTTTATTCTTTGTTCATTCTGCTGCCTGCTTATTGATTGCATGAATGCTGAAAAACTGCTGGTAGCATATAAAGAGTTACATTTCAAATAGTAAGGAATTCGTACAATTTGCATGAAACAGTCAGATATCATATAACAGATGGTTATTGCAGCAGTACCATACTAAGTCATTTAATGAGGGAAACACTTTGATGATGCAAATATTGTGCTCGATTTCAAAACAGACTCTGTGGTCGCAGAATTAATTGACCAATATTAATTACTCATTTCAGATTATTTGGGACACTTCCAATTCTTGTTCTCGCATTACTCAAACTCCTCGGCTATCGTCGAGAAATTGATCATTTTCTAATAGGAATCAGTGTAAGTGTTTCGGTCTTTCTGTTTCACACATATTAACTGGAAACTATTTAAGGCCTTAGGAAGAATATTTGTATGCAAGCAAATTATTTGATTCGTATCAAACAAAGATGTTATTGAATTCGTTTACGTTCTCATCTTAACTGGCTTCTGTGTATGAGTAGTCTCAATAAGCTGATGACTAGACATATTCCAAAAGATTTTTAATCTCAAGTGATGCAAGCTTCCAGATGAAAGAGACAAATGCAACTGCCATATATACGAAGAAATCAGGAGCATAAACCTCACAGCAGCCACCTCTTAGAACTGTGTACCACGTGATTTATATCACAGTTTATTGGATATTTTGTAGATGGAAATGATTTCTAGAGATATCTTCAAAATTCTATTTTCGTAGTAGTGTTTCCATCTCGCTGTCTAGCATTTCTATGTATTTATGAGAAATGGCAATGTGTTTTGGTGACGTACGCTGCCGTCTGTGTGAATTATTGTTAGCATCTTCACTAAGCACCAGCATTCATCTGGATTGTATTCATAACATTTTGAAGACGCATAGCCCGCAGCTATGTGTATCACACGGACAATAACTAAGGTAATATAATTTGAATGTGAGGAAATAGTCCTTATCATTTATTGGATCTCAGGCTTAAGTGTGTCTATGCAATTATTTCAGCGAGTGCGAATTAAATATCCACTCCATGAGCAGACATTTGTCATTCAACACGAACATGGGATCAGTCCCCCACCTAAGTGTTTAAAAGAATTAATCACAATCAGTAATGATAAAAAGTAATGTTGACTTAGTATTGACATAAGTGTCTCTGCTTGCTTTACTTCATGCTAAAGTAGCACATGAAATGAACAAGTGAAACACAACTTCCGAAACACGCATTTCACAGTGCGAGCAATCTCACATAAATTCACTTTATTCAATCCTGCTTAAAAATGGATTATTTTTATCAGCTGTACATTTAAAGCTGTTACTGAATGTGATTGAAGATCGGGTACATGGTATTTATTTTGTGTAGTCATGTATTGGTCGTATCAAGACTAGTGAATTTCTGGGAGTAACAACGATATGTCAACGATGTAAACGAGGCCACTTTACTAATACTTCAGCAAAACAGTAAAATTTCGTAATAACGTTTATACAATCAACAAGTCCGCCTCCAATTTATATGATCTTTATTGTAATGTGTAAACTGATACTTTCTTTCATTTCAGTTCGTGCTATGTTCGATGGGTTTCGCCACTGTGTTCAAAACTGTTTCTTTAGTCATAGCTTTGGCAGCAAGTGGTTCGACGATCCTGTTGACTGCAGCTGTCCTCATTACGGCTCTGTACCTGAGAGATTCTAATTTTCTCTTCACCATTACACTTTTCGCAGCTTTATGTGTTTCTGTGCTTATTGGAATAATTCTGTATATTGTTGAATACGTATCAGGTCATGATGATAAGGTAACATTCAATTGTAACGTATTTTTGAAAATCTGAACTTGATTTATAACGTTTCCTCTGAATATGAGATATTTTTCTTGTTCGGAATGGATAAATAATAAAGGATTTTTCATTGGATGCCACGTATTTGGAAGGTCGCTAGTAGACAACTGAGACATACTATCGTTTGATTGCTATTCGTGGTCACGGTGTTAAGAGAAGATGATCGGGTTGTCTGTGTAACAGTATTAAGAGTAGGATGAAAACAAGAGGATGAGGGCAATTCAGACATAAGTAAGCAACTTTCAAAAGGGCTTTGTGAGCTTCCAAAATGTGTGGATGGCTAGTTCTATCAATCGGCCAACACTGTCGAAGTAGACTTCGTTTTAAAAAACTTTAAGTGTGAAGATTATTCGTCCTGAGTGACCAAATAGACGATAAGATAGCTACTTGAGGTCGACTGCACACAGCCCATGTTGAGCTGTTTACTTGTTGGGATCGTTCTACCGGCTAGGGTCGTCTTTTGGGTATTTAAGAGTGTACTGTTTTCGATGTTTAACTTCCCTTACTTCCACATCAAGGTAAAAGGAGTCAGCAGAGCTGTCTTGGCAGCTATCTCAGGCAAACATCCTACTGCTATTACTCAGCTGCTCACATATCTCTAACATAGTTAAGACAACCTAAACTATGATGGGAACTGGTTTCAGTCTGACTGCATGCTGGATACTGTGGGAACATTAGCTCAAACCAGTATCATTATTTGAATTATCTGGAAATACCGGACCAACTGCTTTGTCAAGGTGGCAGCTGTCGGTAACACTAAGGTAATGTTTGCAAGATTGATTCATCAATAACTTCAGTAATCTGATTTCAGTGTGGATATATGAATACCTGAAACATCAATTTGATCTGATAAATTATCTCACTTTACTTTCATGTTTTCAGCAGGCACTGAGGATTTCACTTGGCGTTAGCTTCATTCTCGCTATGGTGTTGGTAAGTTTTATTGTCAGACATTCATAATAACTTTAAGTGTAAATATAGTCTGCTCAGTGATAAAAATTACACCCATTTGTCCGTTTACTGTTGAGCGAAGACAACCGAATAGAATTCACCTCGTTCATGAGCTCTGAATATTTTGCATATGCAGTAATGATCAAAAGTTCTGTATGATTCGACCATTTTATTATGACAATGCTGCGTACAATTAACACAAAAAAGTTTTCGTCACATCTACACACCAGTGTATATGCGCACAAAATAATATTTCATCATTCAACTTGAACGAAAAGTGTAAATTGTTAATAATATTATTGTTTCCTTCAATCTTTAGAGGAACATTGAGCTTCAGCCGCACGTCTCCATTGCTTTCGGTTCTGTGTAAATCGTTAGCAGGGTGAAAAATTATACTGCCTGGTGATGTTGACTGAGAATAAAATTGGCGTCATCAGCGTAGGTTAGTATAAAATTGACTTTGAGTCGGTAGTTAATCTCTGAACTCAATCCATCACAGTTGGAATGAAAGAAAAGGCAGATTTGAGTAGATTTTTCAATTGCCAGTCACTTTCATACTGCATAACTTAGATTGATATTCTCTGATTCCCTTTCATAAAATCTGTTAAAGTGTAATGTTGCACAATTACTCATTCTATCTGTTTATAAGAGAGAACACTGAGTTCAAAATGAACATGTTTTAAGCAAAAGATGAATTCCTTTCCTTGTATGTTATATCAAATGGAATATTTCGGCGAGTGACATATGTTCATTTATGAATCAGATCAGATACTGATGATGAAACCACTCCCGGAAAGGTGTAGTTTCAATTTATTTCTATATTGTGTATGCCTATCAGGTAGCTTAAATACTGAAATATTTATGGGTGAAGCAGTTGTGTGTCAAAAGTAATACTGTCTCTTTGTCTTTACTTTCTGACACTGCAGGCTATCTTCCTGACGATGAATAGACTACGATTCTGCATCACATACAAAGATGTTTACTGCACAATAATATTCCGAGCTTTCTGTTTGTGGTTGGAAATGATCATACTGTTCACCGCAACATATTCTCCTTTTGATAAATCTGAGGAAGCATGTTCAAATGCGCAAATGTTTTCACCCTGATTATAATATGTCATCTCTGATAAATAAATATTTCTAATTTTGAATATCTTCACTGTTTTGTTCAGTCACTTGATGTCAAAATAGTTAGGCTGGTTAGTTTGCTAAGTATTTGTCGATTCATAACATGTAAACTATGTTAAACACTCTGGTATAGGACGCAGAAGGGTAAAGAGTCATGTAAGCACTAATTTCCATTTCAAAAAATTAATGCAATAAATTTATTTAAATGTGAATATATATTCCCATAATAAATTCATACGTTTTTAAAAAAAATTACACTGCAACTATTGTTGGCAATGTGGCATTTCCTTAGAACTTCGAAGGTATTTAGAACTCTTGAAAGTATTCGAGAGGTGGGTAGTAGGTTTTGTGGTCTTATAAATTCAATTTTTACAACATGAGTGTCTCACTAAGAGTGACATCTGAAAGACTTTGTTATAATACCTTAGAACTATCTTGATTTACTGAGGGAGTCACCTCATTTCCTGACACCTTCCATCCCAACTCGTTGTCAGAGGTGACTGGAGATTTCAAATCCAATGACTGCAATTTTCTCACATCATTCCGTCATTTAAACAACGCCAACTTTTGAACTTGAATAGACAATACACCTGATTTAGTGTTCACAAATGACTTTGGTATATCTGATGCATGAAAACGTGCCAAACTACTAAACCTGGATCATTGTACTGCACGAATATTGTTAAAAGTATATGTAGGCCACAAAAGAAGCTGCCTCACACCTTCTAAAGAAACCTCAGCATAGTTATTTCACTAAGCACAATACGCATACTCTCAAACGTGTGTCAAAATCAACAAACTGGGTCTCATTTACTGAACAAAATCTAGACAACGCAATCACAAATGCAACATGTTATCTGATATTCACTTTCCTTGGAAGTTGACTGTTTACCTTCTTTTCACCTCAAAAGCTTCACCGTAAAAATGAAGGCTGTTTAATATGAAAGATAATCATGGTGTAAAGAGGCTGAACACATTAATAAGATCAGAAGAGAATAAGTGTGGAAACTATTTGGGAAAACCATTAGTGATAAGGAAATAAACAATGATCCTTCTTCAGCTGATGCTGATTCGCTTAATAAGTAAGTCCATCATATGTCATACAGTAGATGTTATTATTTCTAAAGCTACACATGTTATCAATGATCGCTCTTCCAGCCGTTGAAATTTACCCAACCCTTCGATCCGAATGAAAGTCAGAAATTGTACGGATAACTTGTGTCATCCTCCCACTGATATTTCCAATAAATCATTTTCCAGAAAAGTCTCGTCTGTTCCTGGAATTGATATTAAATTTGCTCCTTTATTCAAGTCATCATGTGTTAAGTTAAGACTTTGGTTCTGATGACGTACCTGCTATTGTCCTCTGGAACTGTGCTGATAATTTGTGTTACCCTCTTAATAACACTTTTAATGCTTCCTTTTCCAGTAATGTTCTACCTTTTCCATGGAAAAACATTAAAATTATCCCTATACCAAAACAATCTTCTGGTACTGATATTAAGTTAAGGCCTATTGCAATTAGTTCTCCTTTTTAAAATTGATGGAAAAACTACTTTTACTTCATCTTGAACCTTCAATGAAACCTTATAATGATCCTAAACAATTTGCATATAAACATGGTAGAAGTACCTTGGATGCTGCGGTTGTCTTATATCATAATGTTGTTTCTTGTTTAGACAAAGGCGCCAAATATGTTTGTGGTGCTTTCCTAGACTACACATCTACGTTTGACTCTGTACCTAGGGGCCTTTTATTATATAAGCTCTCCTTGACGCACACAGCATCCTGGGCTAAGAGTTGGTTGCATTCTTATTTTTCTGATAGAACGGAGTATACTGTATATAATGGTAAATCTTCTTCTGCCTCGCTAACGAAAGCCGGTGTTCCTCAAGGTGCCGTCCTCTCTCCTCTTCTTTTTTCTTTCTTCCTACACGACCTGCCTCATTTGAACGAAACTAATTTTGCCAAATATGCTGATGATCTGACTGTATCACTGCTTATCACTTCCGAGTCTGACTGCTGCAAACTTAATAGCTTTCTGTTGGACATCAGCATGTGGTCTAAGTCAAATGGTCTTATGTTAAATCCTTCCAAATGTCAGGCAGTTAACTTTACTTTCAAGCATCGACTTGATATACATGAACTAGTTAGTTCCCATGATGCCTGTAGCATAGATGGCACGGAAATTGAAATCAAGTCAAGCAATAAATACCTTGGATTAATTCTTTTCTCTGACCTTTCATGGTCATCCCACATTTTATTAATCTCTAAGAAAATGTTTCGTCTTACCTTCTACATTAAAAAGTTAAGACAATCAGGTATCAACCAACCTTTAGTTCTGCAATTTTTAAACTCCTGTATTTTACCTACTGTACTCTATTGTCCTCCATTAATCTTTCCTGGGCTTCTTAAAAAAGACTATGTCATATTACGAAGGGTATTAAAGGCTGTGAGTAGGGCTTGTGAATTAACACTGCGTGAGAGAGACACATAAATTCCTGTAAAAAGTGGGCAGAGGCTGTACTGTCAGACCCTCTGCACCCCCTTTATTCACAACTATCCCCTTGTATCTCATCAGGTAGGACGAGAAGTCAACATAAGAAGTTATATGCTCGAACCACTAAGTACAAAAATTCTACAATACCGTATTTAGCCCGTATTTTATATGATGAAGACTCTGTTAGGCGTGAAACATTTAAGTTACTGTGTAATTAACATAGTGAATCGACCCTTTCATTGTTCATCTTTCTTTAATTTTATGGTGTCACTCTTTCTATCGTTTAATTATAACTGCTATTTTTATTTAAGTTATTACTATTATTACTATAATTTTATAATTTATGCGTATTTTTCTCCATACTGCTTACAGTAATTTGCTAAATAGCTGCTATAAAAACGTTTTGTTATCATTATTATGTAATGATTCTTTCTTTAATTTATTTTTTTGTTGTCGTTTTTGAGTAAATTAGATGCTACATTGTACTGAATGCTGAATATTCCTTGCTCCATCATTAGTACTGTTTGTTGGAATAAAGTAAATTATTATTTTTATTATTTTTGAATCTGCTTTTACTTCAACTTGAAGTTACTTAGAAAAATTTCAGTGACTCAAAATGACTTGCTTGTGAACTTGATAGATGCGCATTAGATAACACTGTCGTGTCTCAAATTTAGATAGAAGTGCCAAATATGTTCAATGTGCCTTCCTAAATTTCACGTCTGTCTTCGACTCTGTACCTAGATCATTTATGACAAACGTTTTTGCTATGACCTAGTATTCTAGGCGAGGTTTTAATCACTTTGAGATATCAGGTAAAATTAACAACACACCACATTATATCTCACTCTGTCACAAGATGTCCACGGAGTGAAGATCAAACTGCTGACTGTATTTTTTGATGGGAATCTAGTATACATAAAACGCACTGACGATTATCGCGCAAACAATCACCTCATACATTTAAGTTAATATAAACAAATTTTGATCCTTGAAACATATCGCATTTTTCTGAATTCACCACTTTTAATCATATAAAATCAACTGGTTCAAAGTTAAATATTTTCAGCTGTGACAAAAAATCTTAACTGAATGTTGAAATAACGACTTCATTATACTCACGAAAAGAATTAGTTCAATTTGAAGCCTTTGGTACTAATTAATGAACGTCTTATAAATTTAAGTGAACATCAATTAATTTCGATTCTTGACTTACTTCAATTTTTCATGAATTTACCATTTTTTATCAAATAACTGGACATGGTTCAAAGTGAAACAATTTCCGTCGTATTAAAAGTCTCAAATGAATGTTGGAACGACTACTGGATTATTCTCACCAATAGGAGTAATTAAATTTCAACTGAAGACTTTGATACCAACTACTGAACGCTTCACAACGAATCAAAAAAAACTAAGAATCAAAGTATGAATAATTATTTGAGCATCTTTTTTCTGCTGAATACTGTAACGTCTGGTGTGAGATGGCTTTTCTCTCTCAGATAAGCAGTTGAATATACATCATATGTCATAACTATCGTTTGCTTGTCATTATTCAGAATCTCAAAGAGTACACTCTTCGTGTAATTTTATGGCTTCAAGTTTCATGATTTCATAGTTTATGAGGTTCATAACTTGATATCAGTAGTGAACAGTCATCCTAATATAAGAGAATTATATCAGAATCTTTCTGTTAATGTCTTTTTTTGACATCCTGAAACATACCTGAACATGCATTTGGAGTTATAATGCTTCACGACCTGCAACGCTACTTGCATTGTCCACATCGACAGACTTGAATAACCTTCCATCGCTAATTAAGATTCTCATTACGTAACATACTAGAGTAGCGTTTACTGAAGGGATCATCGAGATAAATTGAAATCTCTGCTGCAGACATTTAGGGTTGATGTGCTTTCATGTATATGCCGGTGGTTATTTCAGGCCGATTACTCAAATATCATATATTTGCATAGTATTTCTTGTTTAACATAGACTGTGACATTTGTATTTCGTAGGATATGAAATTCGCAAATAAATATCATATCTCACATATAAAGGTGATCTCTTTGCATCCAAATTTCACGTTAAAAGTCAACACAACGACCTGTTGTTTTCGTTACAAATTAATGTTTCGCAGGTGTGTAACCATCGCACTTGCAACGTCATGACCAATTTCCCAGTTTGGTTTTGAAAACAATCCTCAAAGAATACTATCAGGATTAAGACAAATTTTATGAATCTTTTTATTTTTCAGGTTGCTGAAAATCCTGGTATGTATTGGCGCGGTTATGCAGTCGTCTGTTGCCTGTAAGTCTACCTTGTCACAATTCTTCGTATTAGTAGTATATGACTGAAAATGTATTTATGTTCACTAATAATTATAATCCACACAGAACTAGTCAGTTCCATTGTTGAAGGCTAGGGGTATGGACTAAGTCAAAATACTAACCTAAATGATACACTGAATTCTCGTCAG